CAAATTAAAGAGCAGAAAATAAGTTTGTGGTAAGGACTTCATAAATTGCAAGGAAAAACACTGACAGAGATCTTTGTTTGTGTTTCAGAAGATCAAAGTCCTATATTTTAGCCTGAGTGGTGGGGGATACTGACTGCATATGGTGACAACATACAAAGTAAACAAAACTAACAAAATAAGTAAAACAAAAAAATATTTAGTATAAGAAAATATGAGTGCGTTTTATTATGTATTATTACACCAAAGAATAGGATGGCTTCAAACTGATTTTAAAGTGCAAGTGTAACTATACAATTACCTACTGTATCACTAATTAATATGTGCAGCAACCAAAACCCCCCTGGTAAAAAGCATTTTATAGTGTATTTTCTCTTTGGGTATATTTAAAACAGCTTGAAAAAGCTGCAGCTCTCTTGTCTGCTGCCTTTGCAAGCCCTCCCGTTCTAACCCCGCCCAGACTTTATGTGACTGTCCAATCACATACTTCCCATTGCAGCTCAATGATAAATCTTTGCATGGCAGGTGCTCTAAACAATTGCTGCCTTGTGAGTTTAGTTCCACTGAGCTAACCTACCAGGAAGTAACAGGACTAATTATTTGATTGCCAGCCAGGGGGGTGTGAAGGTTCACTTATAAGTCTGTCAGTTTTTATTAAAATATACACTTTTTGTAAAATGAAAAAAGAACACATCCTTCACACCTTGGAGATGATGCAAAATGACCATATAAAAAATAAATGGCTACTTGGCCACAACCACAGCAGGTCAGATGCCACAACAAATAGGTCATGAAATGCTTTCACAATGGGTATACAAGACAAGAACAGGCCTTATCAAATGCAGCATTATTGATGGGGAAACAGACCGCGGTTCAGCCTCTACACAAGTAGGATACTACCACACACCAGTTAAAACCCCAAGATATCTTGTTGTAAAAGTATAGGCAATTGTAACATAGTGGGTGTGTCTCTAAGTTCACAATCCTTGGTCTTTTTCGCACCATCAGGCCTTCTTCCATAAACCAAACAATATACAAACAATAAATGATATAAAAAGCAATAGTACTTAGCTTATAAAGATGTATGACAGCCTTCCGTAAACAAATCCACAGACAAGAACAAAATGAAGTGACAGGAGCTTGAATCTCGTGGGTCTTCTCTGACCTCCACCTCCTCCACCAGCCTATACATCTACTGCACTAGCCTCTACATCGTCTCCACCAGCATGTACATCTCCTGCACTAGATTCTACACCGCTTCCACCGGCCTATACACTAGCCAACTAGAGAACACTGATTGACTTTTGGACCATGTGATTAAAGAAAGGAGCCAGCAGCGCCAAAATGCTCATCTGCCACCTATCCAACATCTGTCACCTCGAAATGGTTAAGGCTGAAAAGAACCATCTTTCAGTCACCACTGCAATATATTTGTTGTGCATTTGCTTTCACATTAAGGTTGATAGTAACTTCATCTCCGTGAAACTCGACAAACTAGGTCAATGTTTCCTCCTGGCTGAGTTAGAGCTAAGATTTATCTTTTCACAAATTAGGTTCCTTAAAAGACAAAGATTTAACTGTATGTTCTCATACTACATGTTGTGTTAACATGTATCAAAAAGACTTGCTTGGTATAATACATTTGGTGACACGATTCAGAATACGATATAAGTAAAAAGGTGTGATAAATTGACAATACGTTTGATATGGCCAAGGTGATGGCAGGGAAGCAACCACTGACTAGTTTCATACATTTGCATTGGCACAATATCTTTATGTATACACTTACCCACGCGTAGTGGGTATTGACAAATCATTTTACATATTGAAGTATTCTGGACTGCCTTGTGGGTCTGTTCTAAAGGAATTAACAGGGCATAAGATGCTTTGTTGTACTCCAGTATGAGGCTATCCCTCCCCTACTATTTTCTATTCTCACCTTCCTGGTACAAAGACCATTTCAACGGACATCATTTTCATGTCCACTAAAATTCATGTCTATAATGCAGTGTTGTGTAGAATGTAAGCTGCCATGATGATAACACAAAATAAAGAAAGGTTCAGCATTATTTTGGATATTGATGCTGGTCTGGCGAGACTGGAGGGTCATAGCACCTCATTGTGGAGTAAGTGTTCATCTGTTTTTTTATATAATGATCACAGTGATTGTACCTGCTGGGTGGTCGTTAGTGAGTTTGAGAGAGAGAGAGAGTAAGGCACCCATCTACTACAAGTATACCCAGAATAACCCAACATGAATAAACATGGAAAAGTAATAAATAAGAGAATGAAACATTCCCTTTCCCAAAGTCCATGCAATTATAAGACCGATTTTTGTTCAGTATGATCAGTCAAGTATTACGTACTCCGTATTAGTGTTGCTGTTGTGAGAGCCCGGCACCATGTGATTTTCATTAAAATACCTTGCCCTCCAATAATCCACATTAGAAATACATAAATCATGTCTTTACAAACCTCACACTCCTATAAGGTGCAAGTAAAATGAATGTACCTTTGGCTCCTTACTTGAGTGTTGTGAGCACCATAGCCAGAACCTTGTAGAAAGTGTTACAATGTTCTTGTCAACTGAAATGATCCACATGCCATGAGGTATAGGAGATGACAACATCCTGGCCAGAGGGTTTAAACTCGAACCTTTGAGGTTGTGTTTAAGTGGATTTTTATATCATGGTGTCATGATTGCTGGTAATGATGGAGTTATATTTTGCAATAAGGCGAGAACACAATAATTGGAATACTAAATGAAAAGACGTTACTTTGTAATATTTTGCCTAGACGGTAACATTTGAGGCCATACACAATGGAGTTTGCTTGAATTTTAATATACTTTATGATGGACTTGAATAACTGATATTTCAGCACAATACATCAACACATGACAATATTTATGAGATATACAATAGTAACTGTTAAGAGCTCAAAGTTGTTTAATAACAGTGAATAGTTTGGCAAAATCACGGTTTAATTAGATTGGATAAGTATGTGCCATTAACCAAGTGACGACAGAGAGCAGGAGTCACATTGGGTCGTAACAACATAGCTCCGAAGAACAAGAGTAGTGACTTGGTAATAAGCAGAGTACTTTTTGATACAGAGAGGACACAGAACTGGAGCTTGGTGAAATATAATTCTTTGGTTTGAAGAGACAGAAACAATGGGAATAAGTGAGTGTTAGCATTTACCATAATAATAACAGGTCCGAGAATACAGAGAGTGACAAAGGAAAAGTCTGTAACAGCAAACGAGGATGACCAGAAAGCACGGTAGGGCAAGAGATCCAAGGTCAGAAGCCAATGATGAAGTAAGTTGAAAGGGTGATCTGGAAGAGTAGTCAGATAATGAGAGCCGAGGTCAGATGTCACAATGGTTAACTGGGTCGGAAGGTTGACTTGAAAGCGTACTCAGGTAGCAAGAGGCGAGGTCAGAAGCCAATGATAAAGGAAAGTAACCAGACAGGGCCAGATTTAACCTCCTTGCTGCCTTAAGACCAGTTTCCTCAATGACTCCCCTCCTCCCCCACTATATTTAGTACAAGTATAATGGCACTCACCCTTGCTGGTGACACAGTACTTAGCTCAATGCCCTGGTGCTATCCCACGCTGAACTTATATACAATATATACCACCACTATAAATACCACTTGTCTACCACCACGATGTCTGGTTGGTTGGCCAACACTTGAGTGTCTGTCTGGATCTTGAATTTCCACAAGATCTTAGCCTTGTCATTCTCGACTACCCTTTGTGGTATCTCCCATCTGGCAGGTCCAATCCATATTCTGTGCAGATGTTTCAGTACACAATCCCAGTAACTTAGTTCTGTCTCTCTGTGTATACTGTTCCTGCTAACATCTTGCATCCGGCTACTAGGTGCTGGACTGTCTCAGAGGCCTCTTTGCACAGTATGCACCTTGGGTCTTGCCTGGTGTGGTAGACTCCAGCTTCTATTGATCTGGTGCTGAGTGCCTGCTCCTGTGCTGCTAGGATTAGTGCCTCAGTGCTGTCTTTCAGTCCTGCCTTTCCCAACCACTGGTAGGATTTTATCATGTGAGCCACATCCACTATCTGCCAGTGGTACACCCCATAGAGAGGTTTGTCTTGCCAAGGAACCTCCTCTTTTTCTGCATCATCGATCTGTGTAAGTCTCAGGCATTCCCTTAGCAGTTCATCTTTGGGAACCATCTTCATGATGTACTTGTGGATGCTCTGTGTTTCATCCAGGACTGTGGCCTTGACACTTTTCAGGCCCTGACCTCCTTCAAACCGCCAGGTGTACAGTCTCTGGGTGCTGGATTTCGGGTGGAATCCTTCATTCATAGTGACTGGTTTTCTGGTCTTGACATCCATGGTGACCAGTTCTTCTCTTGGCAAAGTTATTATTCCAGCTGGGTATCTAATGACCGGTAGGACATATGTGATGATGGCTCAGATCTTGTTCTTGACATTGAGCTGGGACTTCAGAACCTGTCTGACTCTTTGGAGGTACTTGCATATTGCTATCCTCCTTGCCTCTTGATCATGGTTGCCATGCGTTTTTGGTACCCCCAGGTACTTGTAGCTGTTCTCTACATCTTATATTTTGCCCTCTGGAACTTCAGCTCCTTCTGTCCTGATCATCTTCCCTCTTATTGCTATCATCCGCCCGCACTTCTATAGTCCGAACGACATTCCGATGTCTTTGCTGTATATCCTAGTTAGGTGGATGAGTGAGTCAATGTCTTGCTCATTCTTGGCATACAGCTTGATGTCGTCCATGTAGAGTAGGTGGCTGATGGTAGCTCCACTCTTGTACCTGTATCCGAATCCACTGTTCTTGATGATCTGACTAAAGGGGTTGAGGCCTATGCATAACAGCATTGGGGATAGCGCATTACCTTGGTATATGTCACATTTAATGTTCACTGTCCTGGAATTGGCTTCTAGTGTTGATTTCCACTTACCCATCAAGTTTTTGATGAAGGCTCTTATTGTCTTGTTGACCTTGTAGAGAGCCAAGCATTCCAGTATCCATGTGTGTGGCATTGTGTCATAGGCTTTCTTGTAGTCAATCCGGGCCGTACACAGCTTGGTCTGTCTGGTCTTAGAATCCCTTGTGACTGCTTGGTGTACCAGTAGTTGGTGTTTTGATCCTCTGGTGTTGTTTCCAATCCCCTTCTGAGTATTGCTCAAATATTGACTCATATGCCCTTGGATCTTGGAGGCTATGATGCCTGACAGGAGTTTCCATGTTGTGGGGAGGCAGGTTATTGGTCGGTAGTTGAATGGTGCTGTTCCCTTGTTAGGGTCCTTCATGACCAGTATTGTTCTGCCTTATGTTAGCCAGTCAGGGTGGGAGCCTGTTACTAGTAGCTGGTTCATTTGTGCTGCTAGGCGTTCATGCAGCGCTGTTAACTTCTTTATCCAGTAGTTGTAGATCATGTCCTGGGGCTGACCAGCTCTTCATGTGTGCTGCTCTCTGTTGGATATCTTCGACTGTGATGATGTCTGGTTCCTGTTCTGGCAGCATGCAGTGGTCTGCTTTCAGGTCTAATAGCCACTGGGCCTCTGTGTTATGAGATGATTCTTGCTCCCAGATATTCTTCCAGTACTGTTCAGTCTCAGTTCTGGGTGGGTCTTGCGAGGAGATGTGTTGGTTACCCTGTAGCTGTGCATACACCTCGGATGGTTCTTTGGTAAAGAGGGCATTGATTCTCTTAGCCTCTGCTTCTCTGGTGTATCTGCTCAGTCTGGTTGCCAGTGCTGTCAGTCTTTACTTAGCTGTTTCCAGCACCTCCAGTAAGGGCATATCCTTGTACTTCTGCAGCAGCCAGGATCTATCTTTGATCTTTCCACCTCTGTTAAGTTGATCCAGCTTACTAACTTCCTTCTGTGCTGTCTTTATCTTGACTTCCAGTCGTAGTCTCAGTGTTAGGCATTGCTTCTCTTTGAGCCTGATCTTGTAGTCAAATAGCTGGAAGACTACTAATGCTGTGGCATATATGAGCCTGTTAGTTTCTGTGATGGTGCAGGATGGAATTGTGGACAATGATTTATTAACTGCAGCTAGTATGCTGTCTGGTGGTTGCTTTCCAGTGATCTTCGGTAGTCTTGTCTGCAGGTTAATGACTGCTAGTCTAGGATCATTTCCCTTATATATGTTATGCCATCTTGGGGTATGGATTCAAGTTGACAATTCTGTACAGGTAAGAATGTGGGTATGGGGATTTCTTCCTCCTCATGATGTATGGTTGATTTCTTCTGTAGTCCATTTATTTCCAGTTGTGACACTCAATTTCTCTTGAAGATGTTCAAACGTTGTGTAACCAGCTGTTTTGGTGTTAGGGTAGATGATGGTCTCTTATTCATCCATAGCTCCCACATACGTTTCATGTAGCCTCTCTCATTGGGTCTGCTGTTGTAGTAGCATTCAAACAAGTCTAGGTTCTCTCTTCATGTCCAGGAATGATTTGTTCCAGTAGCCCACGTATATACACACACCACACATCAATGCGACTAGTTTAAAGTATGATTGAAAGGTGAATGTAAATACGTGGGCGGTTGGATGATAAGTGCTGGGAGAGTGTGTGTATAATTGTGTGGAGGCTGTGTTTGTGATGTTGCATGTTTGTGGGGATGCTGCTGGTGGTGTTGTATGTTTGTGGTAATCCCACCCAGAGGCCATGATCTTGGTGGCCTTATGGCAAATCTAACCCATATGAACTAAGGCTGCAAGGGAAGGTTGCTATACATATGCTATAACAATCCTGGGAGATTCAATAATCATCAATGTGAAACCCAGAGAGAATGTTTACCTATTAAAGGGACACTATAGTCACCCAGACTACTTTCTCTCATTGAATTGTTCTGGATGTAGTGTTCCTGTCCTCATTAGTCCTGCAATGTAAGTCATTGCAGTTTTAGAAACTGTAATAATTACCTTGTAGCACCACAAGTACCTCTAGTGACTGTCTATCAGGCAGCACATCTTGGATTCTAGCGGACTCTGAGTCCCTTAAACGATGCTGGGCGTCCTCACACTCTGCATGAGGAAATCCCGAATCAGTAAAAACCCCATAGGAAAGCATTGAGGCAATTGAGGCTCGATGACGGAGGAAGAGATGGAGCACGACCCAGAGCCGACAGACATCAACGCTATAATCGGGTAAGTAAATAAAGAGTTTTTAACCTTTTATCTGCTACGGGGAGGGGATCAGAGGTTTGTATTCATTACGCTACATAATCCATTTAAGGATTAAGGTCAGATTGTGACATCACTGAGCAAGGAATATGAGGCAAAGTTAGCATTTACTTGGGAGATATTCTGACATGTTTATACTGCATGAATTGCTTAATTGCATGCAACATGTAATGCAGATACCTCATGCATACACTAAAAATATATCACTCAATCTTTAACCCCTTAAGGACACATGACGGAAATATTCCGGCACAATTCCCTTTTATTCCAGAAGTTGTGTCCTTAAGGGGTTAATATTGTAAAGCGCTACGGAATATGTTGGCGCTATATGAATGGCAATAATAATAATAATAAGAGTAACAGTGAATTTGGAAACACTATATATAAATCCCACAAGGGGGCGTGAAACTCTACAACCTAGTTCTTGCATCGTTAGCCATCCTATCCCAGTGCACTAGCTATACTACTCTGAGACTGTATCACAAACAAAGTTTATTCCAGAACGTCTGCTTTTTTTTTTATGCTGACATCAGGGTTTAATCTCTCCTTTACACATATGTTAAGGACACATTAGTCAGTTATGTATTCTCTTTGTTTGACTTTTACGATCTCATGAATGCACACTCACTTCTTTCTGTGAATCTCTATACGATGGGCATCCTCAAATAACCCACATTCTAAACTAGGTTTTCAGTAAGTTGTGACAGTGAAAAAAGAATTTGGGCATGTATGGTGACAAACATTTGTTTTTTAATTTTGCTGCTATGATAGAATTAAGAAACACGTAGTCTATCTGGTGTAAACGTGGGCTTATTTTTGCTTATACATTTGCCCTATACCAGTGCTACCCAAAAAATAGATCCCACTTTCACCCAGGAGACCCCAGAATCGACGAGACTACAGGAAAATTCATATAAAGTACTTACGAGGAGGTACATCCCCCCAGCTGACCTCCATGCAAGGGACAGCTCGAAAATGGCTACATGCTGACGCTGCGGAAGGGATACCGGAATGTTTCTCCACCTATGGTGGGACTGCACCCTCATCTGACCTTTTTGGGAAACAATAGGATGAGTGATTCAGGAAATATCCAACAAAACCCTCCCGATGACCCCAGCACCTTTTCTACTACATCACACGACGATCCCCACGCAGACCCCCGATCCGGCGATGGGTGGAGGACACCCGGAAATTTGAAGACCTGAATGCAACCACACCAAATGCAAAAGAAAAATACACAAAGAGATGGTTCTACTGGCTGAGACATATCGTCCCAGATGACATTGTGACACTCCTGAATATATCCTAAACAACGCACGGGGAAAGCGGGTGACGCTCGGGAGGCGATCCTCTGGTGTGCCCCCCGGGGTGGGGAGTACCGGGGTGGAGGCTGGGGATATCACTCCACCTGGACTACTGAGATCTCTGCCCTCTTCCTTCCTACCAACTCCCCCTTTTTTTTCTCCCTCTCCCTACTCTCCTTCACCCTCCCCTGCTCTCTCTCTCCTCCCCACGGCCATACACACACACCATACACACACACCTTCAAAGGGACCCACACATATAACCCGACCTACAGACACTGACGGGAGCTCAACCGCATACTAAACATAAGAGTATGACACACAAATAAATCCAAAAGTCACCTACCACACTACCATGACGCGCAGCCAACATCTAGGCCCACGCCACCCACCATACATGCTGACTGTGGGCATACCCCACGACACACATGCAATACGCTCTGATACATGCTCCTAAGCCAGCCTAGATGGACACAGAGTCCTTCAACTACCATGCCACGCTTACCCTAACACCAACACGAAAGCAGCAGCCCCACATGGTTTGACCCAACTACACGTTGATATATGAAACCCAGGTTGAACTACGTAAATACATAACAGTAATATCATCCCGTTCACATACACTCGATATCAAAGCGTTATGATACCGCTCTCCATACTAAACATACATTTAATCGGGGGGCTGTACCCGTAACTACAAACTAATGTGGAATGGTCACCCAGATATTATGAACAGCTTACTATTGCTTATGTCGCACTTGATAAATAACCTGTAAACGGCCCTATCTGTTGCACAATGTACTATGCCTCTGCGTAGGCACCAGAATGTCAATCTGCCTTATGTTTGCTATTACTACACCTGTGAAATAAAAACATATTTAAAATAAAAAATAGACCCCAGATGTTGAAAAAAATACTACAACTCCTATGATGCTTTGTATACCTTTAGAATGACAAAGCATCATGGAAGCTGCAGTTCTACAACATCTGGGGACCTACCTTTTGAGCACCCCTGCTCTACACCAACATACCCTAAGCTGCTGATCGGCAACAGGTGCGCCAGAGAGTCAGGAGGCTCAGATTCTGGTTTAAAGAAGGTTTTTTTTCACTAAAGCTTTATAGTACAAGTAGTTTGTCCCTCACATGCAGTTCCACTCATCACATAGGATAAATGGAAATGCTTAATTAACTGATACCATCCATATCGATGCTGCTATCATTTTATACACAGCTTGGTTTTGTGGACTGTGGTCTGTGCAGTGATCTAGCAAACCTTGGCCATGGCTCAACTTGCTCTAATGGATGAGAGAGGTCCATCTTGTTGTGCACGAGACCTAGATGTTGGTGAGAATCAGCAGCTGTCGGATCAGGTAAGGCAGAACTGTTCTCTTACTTCTAATTATTTTTTATCTGGTTTTTGACCATTGTATGAATTCCATATAAAAACAAATCACTCCCGGCAGGGGACAATGAGTGACCATTGTCGACCGAGCAAGTAAACATGTTTCAGCATGGCGCACGGACACTGACATGCAGACAGTACAATGGCATGCATCATTAAAAGTACTTTCTATTTTATTTCCAAACTATGTATATATAATGTTTTTACTTTACATTTATAATATATATATATATATATATATATATATTATTTGTGTCTCTCTAACATCAGTACTTTGAAAATGTTCTGTATCCAGAGTTAAATTGCAAATAGACCAGTATTCCAACCTGCTCATGCATATCAAATAACATTAAACCTATACTTCTCTGCTCCAGGGTAACAGCAGTATCTTCTGGAACAAAAAGCAGATGCAGAACAAGAAAAATAAATCTGAATACATGATCAC